TGTAAACGCATGACAGGAGCACGGTGAATTCATGGGGAAATGGCTAAAACACCACTCAAATCCACAGTTATAAACTTTTTTTTTCCTAAAAGCTATGTTATCATCACCCAGGTCTCCATTACGTTTAAAGCACTTTGAGTGAAGTAGCCAGAAAAGTGCTATATAAGTGTGAGAAATTCTATTATTATTATATTTCTCAGATGACCACATCTTTTTTCTTCCCACCCAGCTGGGCTCCATACCACAATGAATCAATCATTCTGCACGATTTCCTGAGTGCACATAAGCCAGGATACCGATGGGGGGAAGGCCATCCCATCCTAATCCGTCTGGGATTTAGACTGATCCGGGGAGCTCATCCAGCTGTATCTTGAAATATCCCAGGGTATCTTCTTCAATAACCAAGAGCAAACCAAGAACATGAGGCACTTCTTTAACCCGAGGGGTGGGGGAGTAGGGAACGAGCTGCCCGCCCGTGTGGTTGAAACTGATCATCTTGGCGCCCTTCAGGAGATGCATGAGATCCCAGGATTAATAATTAATATGCTACCAGCTACCAAATGGGCGAAATGGCCTCCCTCATTTGTAAGATGTCTTATCTGTGACCATTCTTCCATTCTTATTACAAGTGACTGATAAGACACTGAATGGTCTGGCTCCATCCCTCCTTGAAGACTTTCCCTGGTTAAATGCCTGTGACCTGGGCAGACAATAGCTCCCTGGTGTTTGTGTGTCCCTGGGTCTCAAGCCAGACAGTGCCGGGCTGTTTCGAGGTGACACATTTCCCATGCCCCTCAGAGAGAGTGTTTTAAACGACAGTTTCACACAACGGTACTTTTAATTTCTGAGAAAAAAAAAAATCATTTGTTTGCATGTGAATACATTTGGACCAAGCTTTTATTGTTGTGGTTTTTGTAGCTCCGAGTCTGGTGTCCCCGGTTTTGAACAGTGCCTTTGCATGTTTATTCAAGACGCTTTATAAACGTGAAGCAAGTCGAACGAAGAGCTGCCTCCTGGTAGGACAAGATTTAAAGCAGAAGCACACGGAAAAGTTGATAAAACTAGTCACTCCTGTCGCCTTTTTATTAATGAAGTCTTAGGTGACGGAAGTCAAACTAGTCATAACATTTTTAAATACGGACGAGTGAGGAGTAGGCTTCTGAAAAGATTTCAAGGATGGGTTTCTGTATGGAGAATTCTATCTGTTGTGTGCTGAGATATATTGTTTAAAAAACCTGTGAAACAGGGCGTCGCTCATCTGCTCATGTATATAATTTAATTTATTCTAGATTTTGAATATGCCTTTCAAGTCGCGTGTAGGTTTGGCTTCTCCTTAGGGACACACTTCCGAGTATTGCGTCCTCAGAGGCGAATGCACAAAAACGAGGTATTAATTATAGACGGGTCCGCAGGTTTGACGCTGTGTTCTTAAAACACAGTTAGCGTGACGCCCGAAGAGCTGGGGGCGGGCTGTTCGATTTCCACTCTGATAGCGGTTCGGGGTTTTTCTTGGGTCTATTAATAATCGTTGCTTTAATAACGCCACTTCCTACAATCGCCTTGCGGTCATGCCGTCTCTGAATTAAACATTAAGGACTTCGCTGTAAATGCCAAGGCCAGCGACCCGAGACAGGGCGCTCACGCACCCCATGACATCATTATCCCCGGAGGCAAAGTAAACCCGGGCCGTGTTTGCCCAAACTCTGGGGTCGTTAATATTTGTCAGTCTTATCTGAAACAACTGGAACACTTCAGTGCACCGGAGCCCCTCAACTAACCTCTTACCAGTCAACCTGGCGACTGGCACGACACAGGCGGTCTAGGGGTTTAGGTTTGTGGACATTCTGCAGACAGAAGAAAACAAACCTTCACCCTGGTAACTCGATGACTAAATGCGGTACATAACCTGATTTTATTCAGACCGCATCTGTAAAAGACACATCTATTTTAGGGCAAGATTGTTGAAAATTTACGAAAAGGCTGATTTTTTCACATGTGTCACCCTTAATGGCAGGTATAATAATAATAATAATAATAATAATAATAATAATAATTACAGCTGTGGCGCATTTCTGTTTCATCAGTACACACCGAGACGCTGTGAAGTAATA